GAACTCAAACACAATGTACATTCATTTTTCATTATGAATTTAAGTCGGTGGTTGCATGTTCCCTGTGATGCATCTCCAGTAGATTTTCTGTCGTGAAACTCGATGTCTGGGAGCCGCTATCATTCCTGTTATTGCACTTTTTTTCTTCTTATAATCAAATAACATGACTGTATTGTCAACATTTTTATCTCACAATTAATGACACCTCCCCACACAGTCACAGGAGTGTACGTAAACTTGCACATTATCAGGTAATTTAACATGCTGATATGCATTACTGACAATATTTTGAAGCCTTAGCTGTCAAATAGAGCCACATAAAAACGCGTTCATGTCACAAAAAGTCGTCATAACCTGACCTGTAAAATGTTGAAATACTCTTTGCTGAGTCAGGACAGAAACAGAATAAATGTGTAGCCCTTATTCCTCAATATACAGCACTGGTTTGACTTTTTAACCTACGGTGGGAACATAAAGTGCCGTCTATTTTAGCACTCTAGACGATTTAATGCACAGTATTTTCTGTAACAAACTGACTGAGCAGAGCGTGGTCTTTGTTGTGTATTCACCCCGTGTTTGGTCGGTTATTCAGAGCATCAAATCATCAAAAAATCATTGCTTGTTTGGGTGCAGTAAAAACAGCATTGTATGTAACAGCAGCAGTTTATCTGAGAACAGAGCGATCCCTTAAAGGGAAACACACAGACCCCCATTCGTCACAATTATAGCTTTCAGATGGCTAAAGAGATTTCATCTGGGGCAATTTAGAGCGATTTGTATCACGATGGAATGATCTACCCGTCACCCCAATTTCCCCATAATGGCCAAAATTGGGTTCTTCTCTCCCAGCATACATTGCGAGGGACTGAGTGAGAAGAGGTGCAGGGTGAAGTACATCCAGCAGATGGCAGCGTTTCACTTTAAATCTCCTGCCGTTGCCAGTTTCTACCTGTATCTTTTAATGAGAGGAAGGACGCTGCTAAATTCCAATGTAGTGGCATTTTATTCTTATAAGAAGCTAATACGACTTCACCTGCCACTTTTGATTTATTCAATTAAGACATGAACTCAGCAGTGAGGTGTACCTGATCAGTCAACTCAATACCCAACCTCAGTGCACAGACATTGATACTTTTGTAAAAATGATAAATAATTGAAGATGAAGTTGCTCTTGCAGGAAGCGACAGTAAATTGAAGGGCTTGGGAAGTGATCCATGCAAGCATCTTCCTCACACACACACACACTCACACAGCATGCAGAGGCAATTAAGTCGTGCTGAACCGTGGTGAGTTCAGAATGACTCCAAAACTGGGTTAACAGCTGCCTGCATCCACTCTCAGAATGCTCAAACACACACACACACACATACACACTGCCTCCACCTACCGCCACCTCTCCATGCACAGACAATTGGCCTGGTTCTTCGAGTGGAAGACATGTCACACGGGGCACAGAGCACAGAGCTCCTGAGTAACAAGGCCCCGTGGGACATGGAGGGGCATGGTATACCTGCCAGAGTGAGTAATACTCTTCAGTAGTAAGTGTGTGTGTGTGTGTAGGCAGGAGAGGAGGAGGCTACAAAACATCTGTGCAAGAATGCCGTTAGCCTGACCTGCTCTCTCTCTCTGCAGCGAGATGTCTCCACTCCCACCCTCCCTCCCTGTGTCACACGCTTCTGTGCAGGGAGCTTATTGTCGTGACACTGTAATGAAGTACAAATGATTTCATTTGGAGGGAAAAGTGCCAAATCGTAGACCCCCCCCCCACCACCACCACCACCTCCTCCTCCCTCCTCCCTCCTTTTTCCACAGACACACTATAACGCACCATATGGCAGCATGTCAGCCGAGATGAAAACATCTGGCAGCTTTCTATGTTCACATGGGCACAGATAGTCGACGCATGATGGGAGGAAAAAAAAAAACATAGCGAACATCATGCTTCCTCTTCAGGACCACGATGCAGCTGCTCAACTCAGAGCAGGGGGAAACAGTCTGACTCGGCTTCTTTCACCTGTGGGAAAGAAGGAAATATCTGGCTTTCTTTATTTTTCTGCAGCATGCTGATAGATACTCATTTAAGTTTTCTCACAGCACAAATGCATGTAATCCAAGAACATCAACAGGAACTACATTGAAAGAGAAGTTTGACATCTTAAGGAATACTCAGAGGAAATAAAAACAATCAAAGTTGTGGTCTTATGCAGGATAATGTGATTTTTTTTCTTCCTGAAAATCCAGTTGTGTCTGAGAAATCAGTGCATCTGAACATTGGAGCCCTGTAAAAAGAAAATCTACGCATGTGTTTAAAGGAAGAATGTGCAACATTTTATACATAAATAAAGCAGAAATCAAGTCTATCCTCCTCCCTGAGTCATGACTGTCTACAATGAGTGAGAAGAGAGAGTCGTGCTGGCTGTGTTGTTGTTGACATCGTGTTTACATGGACAGGACGGCCGGCTCCTCCCCTTGGGTACAAAAGCTGTTTTAGTCCAGGACTAGAAAAAAGAAGAAGAAGAACATACTCACTACAGTCTGTGTACGTTTACATGCAATTGCAGCTCGAGCTAAATAGCAATTTTGTCCGCTTGAGCTAAACTCCTTCTTGTAAACCGGAGTGGAGAGGAGGGTTGGAGTTGTGTCGCTGCCGTAAGGGCCGAGGCTTCAGAACGGCGGAGGTGCAGCCAAACAGCAGATTGTTTTGGCGTTGTGCTGGAACTCAAGGGCGATCACAAAAGTGGCACATTCTTCCTTTAAAGCATTAATACTCAGAGATATTCTGATGGCATTCATATCACACTCACCTGTATGAGAGGTCACTTCTAAATGGGTGTGTACCTTAAGATTTAAAGAATAACATCTAGATTTCTGTGAAGAAACACAAACAGGTACATGTACAGATACCAAACACTTCCCCTACGTCCATGGTGGGAACTCCACCGTACCGGGAATCATTTACAGGCATGAAGAGGCTAATGTCTAAATGTGTAGGTTCGCTTTTATGGCCCTGTATCACATGTTCTCCTCTAGAAGGACATCCTAAAGTACTTTGCATCCCATTTTCTTGCACACTGATGCCCTTCATGTTTAATACATACCTCAGTTTCTTCCAAGGGGGCACTTCTGCGATGCATTCCTTTTTTCCTTCAAAGTGCACCAACACACCCCGACTAATACATGACCGACTTCTCATCCTATAAGAGGAACACGTTGGAGCTAATTAACACAGTCTGGCAGCATTTTTAAGATACCTCCCTGTGCGCCACTGGGATTTTTCTTCTTCTTCTCCTTCCAATACTGTTGCTTTGATCACAGCAAAAGAAGTAAGTGGCTTCACTATGGGCTGAACACTGAGAGGCAGGAGGGGGATAAGAAAAAAGGGACTGTTTATCTGCCTCTTAGCAGGAAAGGAGAAAAAACAAAAGGATTCTGCTTCTTAGAGACATTAGATGTAACAGTTTAAGTGAGCAAACTTGCCTTTTCGTTGAGTTTTTTTCCGACTGTGGAGCGTCTGCATCGTCACTTTTATTCAGTAAAACAAACTGACAGTTCAAAGGACTCCTACCACCGCATGTCTAAAGGCCCAGACACACCAAGGAGATCCTCGGACTAGATGGACCGTCGGTGAGCGGTCGTCGCCATAGTTTTTGCAGATTGTCCGGCTTGGTCACTACCCGTCTGCCTTTTTTTTTGGCTGATTCAACATGTTGTATCAGCGTCGGCGGTCGGTGAGAGGAATCTCTCTGATTGGCTGTTTGGAGGTTTAATTTCTCTCCATCTCTCCTCACAGGTTCAGGAAAGCCCCTTGAGCATGCCGCTGTAGTATCCATGCTTTCACCCATTATTGTCGCCTCCGCCTCTTCTTTTCTTTTTCCACTAAGAAGTGGAAAAAGAAAAGAAGAGGCGAAAATGGCGCTGACAACGCCAGCGCCGGCGCTGACAACGCCAGCGCCATTTCCTACTTTTTATCAGACATTATTCTCCATTAGTAGACTACCTATAATACGAGTGGTGACCGACAGCAGTGTGAAAATGGTCTTCTTGTATCATAACAACAGACTACTACCGCCTGCTAGCGTGGAGAGTTGGTGCTGGCATGAGCAGAACGTACGTGGTGGTTGGCCGTCAGCTGTAGTCTTTGCGTTGTGTTCAAGTGCAAATATTTAGCCAAGACAAACGGCGATGCCACAGCCTTTGTCGCCACTAGTTCTTTGCCGTCTGCTTGGTGTGTCAGGGCCTTAAGACACCATTTAGTTTGTGTGGAGTTTTCATTCTGTAACACACATCGATCACATAAATGAATAGCTGCATCTTTCCATGTCCTGCTTTTGAGTGCACCGAGGTCAAACAACAATCACAACATGGCTGTTCTTCAGCTGTGTCTCCGTGCATCGACTCTCTTGATTTAGTTTGATTCAGAAATGAGGCCGGGCCTTTTCAGTCAGAGTGGAGTAAGGAGACGTATTGATTGTTGATTCAAGGTTTTTTTTTTTTTTTTTTTTTTACGGGAGACGGCAGAGTTATGGGGCCGCATCGGCTCCACGCCAGAATAACAGATCCGGGCATCGTCAGCAATCCGTACGGCTGCTCCATAAACAAAGTGACAAGGGTGGCGTTTTTCTGCAAACAAATACAGCGCCCTCTCTCTCTCGCTCGCTCGCTCGATCTCTCTCTGCACTCACACAGCACACACAAGACTGAGAAATCCCATAACCGTAAATGTGGTTTTATTAATAATAACAGTATCTCTTTTCATGAACATTTGCAGATACAGAATAGAAAATAAATCAGAAACAGGAGAGACGTCGTCTCAAGAGTCGTGAAAGTGCCTGGAATAATTCTGTGCTCTATATTGTCATTGTTATTCTTCATCATCGTCAAAGCCAAGTCGCCAGAACTCATCATGAAACTAAAATGTGTCGCCCTCATTAGAAAATGCAAACATTTGTATCCACACAGCCTCCTACAGCAGGATGTTCACTTTTTAACCCATTCACATGTGAACCTCCAGTCGGGATTCTCCACTTTGACAGGCTTTGTGGGTAATGACCATCGGTTTTCATGAGTATGGCTCGATTGTCTTCATATTCATCACGTTATTGTTTCTGATTATATTTACACGACGACACTCCTCTGCTCGGAAATGTTGCCCTTAATCTGTCTTGATTTCATAAGGGGGTGGGGGGGGGGGGGTCGGATTGATTTGGTTCAATACAGGCCTGGTTAGTAACTGAATGCTTGATTTTAAAGATTTCTCATGACGAGGTATGCTGAGCGACAAAAAACTAAATGTGTCAACAAATCCAGGCCTGTTCAGAAACATTCGGTAAAAGTCAAATTGAAAACTTTTAAGATTACGAAAAGAAAACAAGGAGGGGGGGGGGGGGGCGAAATAACATAACTTTGTGTTTACACTTTGCATATTTTACGGCACTAAATGAAACACCTCCCCGTTATGAGATGCTTGCAGGTCTTTTAGTATGAGGTTAGTTTCTTTTCAAAGACTGTGGCACAGCTGCAGGAGGAGGAAGTACACCGGCTGCCGTCACAGGTCTGAGCGGATGTGTGAGTATAGCTCTTGTTTCTTAATGACTTGATGAGATCGTACCGGTGGTGAAGGAAGAAACCTCTGAGAGGGGAAGAAAAAGATGAAGATGGTTCCCTGTAGCTCGCTTTGGTCTGACTTACTTGAAGTAACTCGTCTGATCTCAACATTAATTGGGTTTCATTCTAAAAGCCTACTGGTTAAGATGGTAATATATCCCATGATTACCAGTGGTCAGTCGCTCAAAGATACAACTGGTAACGTTATCTAAAACCACCATTAGTATCATCGAGTCAGCATCTGCTTTCAGGTTTTTCAGCAGCATGTTCGCCCGCCCAGCGTCAAATATGGCAGCCGAGTCAGAGTCCCGCTGCTTCAAAATATGACGCTGTAGGTACCACACTGGTGTCATTTCAAAACCCCCGTTCTCCTCCAGCTTTTCATTTTAATGAGAAGTTAAAGGCAGGCACTGAAAAATGGCGAATTACAAGAACGGTTTTGTGGAAAAGAACACGTCTGGTGCGAGTGTACCGTTTTTTAAAATACTGTGAAACTTCTAAAAAAAAAAAAAGAGTGAGAGATTCAAAATGTGATTTAAAGCCTCTCTCACTCTGTTACTGCGACACAGTGGGTCAACTTTAAAACCCGACAATGCACAACTTGTTTGAGATCAAAGGTAACATAACAGGTAGAAATGATGATTCAGGCTGGAGGGATGAAATAACTCAAGGGATATGGACCCAGAAGAACGGGATAGTGTAAGGGTACCTACATCGTCATATTTTGAAGCAACTCACCGAGCTGACAGCTTGGGGGTCGATTAAGATCTTGTTGGTGAATTTTATTCACATCTCGTCCTCACAGCGGTCAGAATCGGGCTGTGATGATAAACCTGAGAGCGTAACTGAACTGACCTGTTGGGAAACACATAACAAGCTGTCATTCAAGAGGACATGTAGGACACAGAGAGAACGTTTGAGACCTGGACGGCCTCGTTTGGTCCCACAGGAAACCGGGTGGAGTCAAAATGCTTCAGGTAACACTCACAGCTTCCCCTCTCCTCCATTTGTTCTGACATCATCAATAGAGCAGCTCCATCACCGTCCAATCAACTGAGACACCCGCCATAACTGTTAAATCAACAAAAACATGAGAAGCCCTCGGAGCTGCGACCCGTGTGGAGTTTGAAAATGTCAAAAGTCCTTTTTTTTTTTTGTTTTAAATCATGACAACACAAACTTTTTTTTTTCCTCTTGCGATATTAAGGGTAAGACATTTAGTGAATGAGCTGACCATTTTTTTTTATGTGAGCTGTGCAGTTCCACATAACAAAACATGATTACGTCTCATGTCAGAGTTATAACGTCTCTAAGCAAATATCCCTCCGTTACAAAAATAGACTCTTCTTCTTTCATAAAATAATACACATCATTAATTTTTCGGTGATATATTCATCTGTTAAGGTAAATAGCAAGGCTGTTTTTTTGTCTTTTTTTTTTTTTCAAAGTAAAAGTTATCGTGTGAGAAACAGAGAGATGTGAAGCCTAGCACCATGTTCTTCAAACCCCCTCGTTACAGATTCCACTTCCCCCAATTCAGGAAATCAATCTCCTCTCGCTCTCTGGACGCCATGTTTTGCATAATCTGGTTGAGTCCAAATTCTCAACCCTTACAGAAGCCGCTGGAGATGAAATCCGAAAAACCGAATCGTCCTCCATCTCCGGCCGGCTGGATCTTCTACCCTCCCTGTTAAAACGTTATAAACTACACCAGCCAACAAATTAAGATAAAGGTAACAACGGTTTATCCCGAATAACATCTCACAGGCCAATGTCTTCACTTTTGCACAAACTGAAACCAAAGAAATCAAAAAGTTAAGAGTCCCAACTGATGTTAAAAGATAAACAAGAAACAAGTCCCAAACACTGATGCTACAAAGAATTAGAAAAACGTATGTACAGGACCCTGTATTCCTTGACTCTCTGGGTAAATGATCGTAGGTGTTGGCTTGTGTTACGTGAGTGTTTATACAGGCATACAAAAACAAGTTCTCCTCGCTTCTTCTGTCTTCTTCTTCAGTTTCAATGAAAGCTCTTATTGGACCAAAACTAAACTTTCTGCCACCGATGTGTCCAGCCGTGCCCGCCGCGCCCTCTTTGTCCTCCGGGTGTTTCCTGGTGCAAATTCAACAGCAGCGAGTAACGTTAGTGCCCTTCAGCGCCGCCTGGCTCTGGTGCGTTCAGGGTCCGAGTGCCAGTGGTGAGTCCTCCCTGTGACGGACATCTTTAAGATCCAGAGTTTACCCCGCACGGCTCAGTCTCTGTCACCAGATCACGCTGGATATACTGGTCTCTCTTGGCAGCAGCGGCAGCATGGCGTTGTTGCCGTGAGCCTCCTCTATACTCTGTTGTCGCGGCGACTTGGACTGCGGTCGCTGTCCGTTGATGAGCGTCATGGGGATGTTGCAGTAGGTGTGCTGGTTGCCTAGCGTGGAGAGCGGCGGGAGGGTGCCGCCAGGCGGCAGGTCGTAGTCGTAGCTACGGTAATAGTGTTTCTGCCTCATCTGGGTGTGGCAAGAGTTGTGGAAGGTGGAGCGCAAGTCCGGGTGTGTGGTCGCCATGGCGGTGGAGGTGGCCGCCGCCATGGAGATGGCCGAGACGGTCTGGAGCTCGCTGAAGGGGCCCTGCTCGCTGACATCCAGCACCTGCTCGTGGGAAATGCTGAGGGGCTCCATGCGCTTGAAGGGCATCTCGTAGAGCAGCTGCTTCCAGAACTTGGAGTTGAGCTTGTTGCTGGACGGCCCGCGCCACTTGATGACCGTCAGCATCTTGATGGTGTGTTTGAGGGCCTCCACTTCCTGGTAGTTCATGATGCCGCGCAGCTCGGCGCACTCGATGAGGATGACTTTGATCTCACCCGTCACCAGCATGTTGCGCAGCCGCGTTTCCAACTCAAAGATACTCCACCCCCTCCTCACCACATAGCTGGGCGTCATGACGATGATGAGGCGCTTGCTCTGATCCACACAGCGTGCAACGTCCTCGATGTACGCTGAACACACACACACACACACACAAAGGTAGAGAGATAGAGAACTTTGAATGAATATTTGCACAGTTTATTCTGCTTGTATGACTTTTAAATACTGAGTGTGTGAGTTGTGTAAACTTAAGAGACAACTTTATGAACGAACAAGTAAATAAATGAATCACACTAGCCTCAGGGCGATCGCTTTAATAAAAAAGATTGAAACATCTGAATCCAATGAAGTGAAGAAATTCATCGAGAAAGAAAGATTGATGCTGCTTCTATCCAACATAATTTGAATTTGAAAACAAACACAGACACTAGCATAGTCAGGATTCAAACATTAGTATGAAATAGATATGGTCTAACTTCATTCAACATTTAGAGCTTCTGCAGACTTTTATTAAAAAAAACCCCCAAAAAACAAGATGAAGGGGAGTATTTGGTTTAACTTTAAAATGAGGATAAACATAAAACACTTAAAAGCCAAGCAGGATACGATAAACGACCACAAATCAGTGGACACCCGCATTTAAGAGTTCAAATGTTTGAGTAGCAGCTGTTGATACAATCCAGCTCATATGCATGAAATCTTCATAAACAAAGAGTAAAGATGAGGTGTAACGAGCTCAGTGACTTTGAAAGGGACACTGTCAGAAACGCCTAAATCATGGGGGCGTCGGTAGCCGGGTGGTTAGTGCGTGCACCCCCGTTTACGGAGACAACATATCAAGGTGTGGTGAAAACTGTACCCTGCCAACAGATAGGTGAAGTATGCTACGGTTGCTATGTCCACCTAACTCGATTACGGTCTTCTTAAAGCGGCAGAACACTAAGATTTTTGGGCAAACTGGACGACTTTTTTGGGGGTAACGGGCTCCGACTCTTCTCATGTGTTTGGGTCGATGTTGCTACCAACGCCGCAGAAAAACCTTGTACATAAGCAGCATGCCACATTGCTCTACTGGCTGGAGACTGAGAATAAAGTCAGTCTTCTGGGAAGAATGGCGGTGTCAAATAGGGGGCATACACCATATTTTAAGCACATGGATTCAGACTGAGATGATATATAAGGTGATGATAAGGTGTCCACTGACTTTTGGCCATATAGTGTATCAATGAGAACCTGAATGTGCATCTTCGCCTCTGCAGATGAAAGAAATGATAGTTTAGAGTAAATAAAACACATTGTTCATGTGTCTACAAAAGGAGCTCAGCTGGTTGGATTATAATGAATGTGATAAAGTGTTTCCCCAGGCCTATCCTGGTGTCAGCAGGAGGAAGTGTAATGTGTGTGTGTGTGTGTGTGTGTGTGTGTGTGTGTGTGAGCAGCTAATGCCTCCTTTTAGCCTTTCTTGGCGGAGACAAAGACAGAGTGGCTCTACGGCGGCGGCTAGACGGGATTAACTGGGCTTCACTTTCCAATCAAAGCTTACGACCCTCTTGTGTGTCTCAGTGAAGAGAAAACATACAGGGCCTATTTTTCTTCCTCCCCTTCTCTCCGCGAGGTCCTGAGTGTGTGTGTGTGTGTGTGTGTGTGTGTGTGTGTGTGTGTGTGAGAGAGGGAATATCTCGCTGGTCTTTTTAAGCAAACAAATGCCACATCTCATCTTCGTATCTCGGAGAGGGAACTCCTTCTCTCATGTCACGCTCTGCCCAGAGGCAGACCTGATTAGAAGAAGACTTGGGTTTGAAGACCTTCGCTTCAACATGACATGTCTTTGCTGGGCTGTGATTGGTCCTCGTGCGGTAATTTGTCACTGTGCAGCTCCCTCGAGCTACCACTCCCCCTGTAGTCAGCGAGACTACTCAGTTTAGGTCAAACCAATCAGACAAAAACAAGTTTCTCTTTTATCTTAGCATGAATAAAAGAACCAGGAAGGGATGAATGGATACTATATAATTAGCTAATGAGTCCTAGTTTCATTTTATAGTTTTGAATTGATTAAAGGGAGAGTAAATCTGCCCTCTTCGGGGTGCTGTCTGCGAACACTTTATAGCTTTATAGATTGTATCCCCCCCCCTCAACGACCTCGCAAACTCCACAATCAAAGAGTTGCACGTGTAATAACTGATTCCTGTCAACATAAAAACAAAATCAAAGCTGAATAAGTAGAGGGAGGAAAAACAACTGTTGCCCTGCCCGCTACGGTTTCCAGTGTGTGTCTGTTAGTGGAGTTCCTAGAGGTGGGTGTGTTTCCTTGGACCAAAGGAAGTGCAGTGCTGAATGTGAAGTTTACATGAGCTTATACTGTTGCTAAAACATGCTGTGGCGACATATGATGGAACCAAAACCCACCGGAGAGACGAGACGAGCGGAAGAAGACTCGCCCGAGGAAATGGAATAAAGGGTGCCGAGTGGACTGGACGGGACACACTCGACATCCCTACCCCTACTTTTTCTAAATGGAGGCTAACTTGAGCAGTATTGCATTATCTTGTTTGCAACGCAGCAGACTGAGAATGATGACATTTACTGATTATCACTCAAAACTATCAAGGTCATCTCTTTCTCCAGTATTTCATCTGTGTGGTTTGACCCGCGTACTTCCGCTCTGACTGTGATTCAGCAGCTGTAACAATCCTCACTTTGAACAAGTCTGCAAGTATCTTGCAGCTTGGCAACACCATATTTTGTTCCAACAAAGCAATTAAAGGAGAAACACTTGAGGGGTTTTTACAACCTGGCAAAGATAACCTCGTTGACCAATCATATTTTTGACAATCAAATCTGTAGCAATGTGTGTTGACATTATAAGAAAATCTGGGGGAAAAAGAAAGTACCTCTAAGGAGTCTTGTGTCATCCTGGAAATGATCATTGGTGAAACCTAAACATAGATATTTACATTCAAAGGATGAACAAAAAATGTCTTTTTTGAGCATGTTTAAAAGAGCAGTTCTGTCAAAGTGGGGACTTGGATCTGGCATAAACTGTGCTTCTGCACTGATGTTCCACTGGCGATTGTAAGACGGTAATCGCGCCAAGCAGTTTATTCCAGTTTAATATGGGAAGTGTGGCATAAAAAAAGCAGAGGAAAAGCCCGTTATTGGTTGATTGGAGTTCAGCTCAAATTGACTTTTTGCTGCCATTTGTTTCAAAACACTGAACGTAAATGAGATTCGGAAGAAGTCTCTCAGATGAATCAGATGTGTAGCATGTTTAAAAAATAATCCAGCATACTGAGTGATAACACTTCATCTATCAGCAGCTCAGAGAAGGATTGTTGACACATGCTGAAACCCCAAACGGCCGAAATGTGTTTATCTTCAGCTGTGGATTATGCTTCATTATATCGACTGTTGAGATATTCCCAATGGGAAGTGAATGTTTACACAGATACCGTAAAATGGCGAGCTGTGCCACCAAGCTGGAAAAGTGGCAGACGCACTTCCTCTCAATCCTTGCATTTTTATGCCATTTTTTCCCATATTACAACAGTCCCCCCCCGCCCCCCTCCCCTCGCATCAAGCACATAATCACAGCAAGGGATTCAGTTGATAACGTTGGCACAGTGCCACTGAAGACGAACGTAATTAGTAGTGGCGGTGTGTGCGGGAAGACAGGCAGATGCAAGTATTCAAATGGAGGCTAATAACATAATGATATTATCAAAAAGTCATCTGTGCGATGGGTTAGTCAAAGATAAGCACTGGGGCATGGTGAGACGCTCCATTAGAAATGTACTGTGGCAAAGCATGCTTTAATATCCATGCATAAAGAGCTTTTTGAATTGAATGGCTGACATCGTTACACAGCTGCATGCAGAGGTACACGTTGTATGGAGCTCGATCGGGAATGTGGACTGTAATAACAGGGTGGGCTCTTTCTGCCAATTATGCTGCATATGTAATGTAGGATATTATGCCTCCCACAGGCTTTACATAATGGAGATTATGCACTTTAAATACCTCGGTACATAAAGAACCAATTAATAACGCCGGACCTTTCCTACTGACGGAGTAGTTTTAGGGCTGCAGGGCGGGAACTTAACGGAGAGGTCTACACTTTAGTTTGTTGGAAATATCGACCACGTCCTGCAATGACAACCCTCCAGTAAAAGTCCTCCAAAGGGTCTGAAGAAGAGCACCTTTCCAAGCGTAAGTGTAGGTATAAGGTAAGTTTATAATATATATTATTATCAATAGCTGTGAACCATATTACTAAAGCTGAAAAATCCTGTTCTGTACGCTGATCGTAAGCAGGGGCGATTCTAGAGTCTGTTAGGGCCCAGGGCCAAAATTCACAAGGGGCCCCTCCAACCAGCGTTCATCCCCATTCTTATTTCTTAAGTTCACATCAGTATTCTTATTTCTAAATAGAAGTATAAAGAAGTATAAAGAACACTAAGAAGAAGAAGAATGAGAAAGAAAAGGTCAAAAAGCAAAAAGCATTATCTAACACTAGCGGAAATTACATCATTCAAGTTTCTCTCCCCCATATTTCTGGCTAGATGAGCAACATTCAGTGATTTACGAGAATATAAGAGAGTGCTGTGAGATGGGGCCACCGTAGGGAGGTTTCCTACTGTCATTACTGACTGTTTTTTTTATCTCATGGGGGGGGGGGCACTGGTCTGCCTGTTGCCAAGCATCACCTCTGATCGTAAGTGTCAATTAAACACAGTTAAAAGTACATTTCTTCTCTAAATGTTCTCAAAACATTTTGTGAGTTCATCCATCATTCAACAACTCTTCAAACGTTGCTGACTATTTTTAACATTCACTCAGTTTCACCACAGGTGGGTTCAGCTGTCATACTAAGCTGATAATTTCAGTAACCGCTGGCAAGTACCTGCTGCTGTTATCTTGTTCCCACACTTAAAAGAAAACCATTTGTGGTCAAAATGTGCATGCAGAATGAAAGGAGAAGTTGGAACGAGATAGCAGCCTGCAGGTACCTTTTGGCTTTTTCTTTGTTGCTTGTTATTAACCAGCACTTGTAGAAAGAATGGTGTTTGGGCTCCTAAATACACCACTCATAACTAAGGAAGTACAACTCCCTAGTGTTGGGTATCTCTTGCTTATGCGCCATTACTGCAACTTTCTCCCCTGTGTTATTTATTGCTAACAAGCAGGTAGATGTACTTCACTATTTAAATGACAGGAATAATGCAAAATCATAGGGAACCCCTAAATGCCATCGTTTAGTCAACGGTCCACTTGAGTTCAGCCAGTGGTTAGAAAAAGCTCACTTCATAATGATCACATTAAAAAAGAAAGATGGTCGCACAACAGGTCGCCACAACACAAATGAAGAACAGGAAAACCACAAACAAGGCATGTCACCACTGCACTGACAGCACGAGCAACACCAAGCGACAACAAGCATTCGACACAACTTGACATCGCCGTGAGAGAGAGAGCTTACTTCCTGTGGGGATCAAGTCCCTGTCTGGAATGAAGAGTTTATACCCATAATGCTTCTCGAGCACGTCGGGGAGGATCTCCAGGGCAAAGCGCTCTTCCTCGCGGGTCTCCTGGCTCCACTGGTCCGGGTCCACTTTTGTGTAGGACAGGTAAGCGTCATAGTCCTTGTTGTCTGCAGGGAGAGGGGGGGACATCATGAAGATCTTAATTAATAATGGTCCCTGAGATCCTTAAGAACCAAAACAGGTATTGCAGGACGCAGAGAGAGGAAATAAAACCTTGGGGTGAGCAAACTTATTTAAAAATAAAGTGTGTTCCCTTGAAATTTCATTATTTTTAACCCTGGGCCGTCAACTCAGATCAAAACCCATTGAAGAACACAAACTACAAACTAACTGGTCAAGGCAGAGTTAAATCATTGATTCATTGATAGCCCTACATTTTGTCAAAATAAACCAGTTTGAAAATCGATGAAGATCTCCCAAATCTACTTAAATGCTGATATTTTTAGTGATTTGGACATTATGTTTCCTGCTTTGTTCAGCAACGTTATCCAGCTCATTCCCCCTCCACACACACAATCTATTTTTTTTTTATAAAGGCGTACAGAGAGCTATTCATTCACTGGGAGACTTCACTGAGACACGACGCCTCCATAACACTGACCTCTGCACACCTCTGCCAATCTGAGTGCTTTTCATTACAGCTCCGTCCCCACTGACGAATAATGTTACCTTGATAACTACTTTGCCCACCGCAGGCAAAACAAATTAGACTCCAGCCCAAGCTAAATGCCCAACGCTGACTGCTCGGCGGACACATGGTGTGGCTCCATCACCCACACGAAAGCTCTGATTGATGATGAAAGGAGTGAGCACTTTAATGTTTCTTCTCGAGCTGGAGCACTTCAGTACAATTAGTTGGAAGGTGGAAATGGAGGACGTGGAGGGGAGATACCCCAGAACCTCTGACCGCCTCAGGAAGGAGATCAAAACTTCACACTCTAATGTTGTGCTCAAAGCCGACTGAACAACCAAAGCCACTACATCAATTACAGTGGTTTGGTCCTTGACCTGCCTCTCTTTGAAATTGAAGCCACTTTTTACCGCCCAGCCACTTCACTTGAGTCCCCAACTTGGCGAGTAAAAACCTGACTAGGATTTACCCAAGCACAAGAGCATGGTGTCTTCAGAGTTACCCAGAATGATCCATGAGTTATTTTCTCTTGCCAAAGGAATAGTTCCTTTAAAAAAGTCTTCATTTCTGCTTTTGATAAGGATACATTGAATTTTAGGGGGAGATTTTTCACTTAGTGCAAACAACTGACACCATCTGCAAGCCAGACACCAGTAGGTTTGAGTCATCAAATCTGTTGTTTTTTTGTTCTAAATTTATCTGGTATCCATTCAAATGACATCGGGTATCAGCGCCAAGATTTTCCAATGCCTAAACAGTCAGACTTAGTAACTTGGGAGGCTTGAATAGAGTTGGATTTGGGAGACAAAATCCAAGAGAAGATTGTTATGTGCATTCAAATTCAGGTATCTGATTATGGATTCCACAGGAATAAAGTCATGTGACAGATGTGACTTCAAGATGTATTTCGGGGCTTTCGCTTAAATTGTAGATAGGACAGTGGATTGAGTAGAAGGTGGGAAGAGACTGTAGGGAATGACATGCGGGAAAGGAGCCTCAGGTCAGACACGAGGGCTCCGCTTGGATGAGGTACTACCTAACCGCGAGGCTACCTGCGCCACAGACCAAGAAGATTTTTTGGGGCAAAAAAGAGAGAGGTCTTCTTGTTCTAGTGCTATTGGGATGAATTCCGATCCTATGGATGGAAATGCAAAAACATCCTGATTCTGGAAATGGATGTTGCTGGTAGGGAAGACATAATGGCTTTAATGCATTGAGAAATTTGGGACCTAAATGATTTTAGCCCCCCAAAAACAGACAGTTTTTTTTTGCAGACATTTTTGTTGGGCCAAAATACGACTTGGACTACAAACAAAATCCAAAACGTTTCAAACTCCAAACATCTAATCCATTGCCTTCAGATTCTGAAGTCATGCAGCTCTCTTTTGAAATGGATTACTCAGACACAAACCACACAAAATGCATGTCATATTTTGGGGTTATATTCATCAGAGACAAAAATATCTGATTCTTCCCTTTCCTCTATTCACTAACCCCCTCATATCTGTGCCACAAAAGATGTGGGAAATCAGAACTGGGACACTCAGAGTTGCATGGGGAACACACAGCCTTTGAGGTGAACTCATCACAGACACAAGCCAGGTTTTGGATCTATGAGTTCCTGCCTTCCCTACGACTCGGGTCCCTTTGCTGTTCTGGGGGCCACCTACAGTGCAGGAGCTTTGAGACGACGCCTACATGTCAAGACAGTGGAATAGAGGGTGGCTTAGGATGAGAGGATTGAATCGAGGAAAGGAGCAGAGTAGATGGGTTCAAGAGGAGGGATTTTGGGATCTTCACAGTTTCTATTTTTGAAGCTATTAATACCCGCTCCATTTAACATTCCTGCCTGTGTCAGGTCTGTAACACTGTCAACATGATTCACTCGCTTCCAAGTGTGTCATCTCGATATCTGGCAAGTGTTCATACACGACACCACATAATTATTCTAACTCGGTTTTATATCCTGCAATTCATTTTACAACATCAGGGACATGTAAAAAAATAATTGAAATGTAACCCCATAATCACTTAGCACGACTAACTCAGAGGCCGCTCTTCTACTTCACAGAGACATCAATCCCGCTCGCTGTTTTTTCAGAGCTAAATGAGAGCTGTGTAGGTAGATTAAGGACTATTACAGTGGAGCTGACTCACTCGTCTGTAGTGAGGAAGAGAGAGGGAGGTACAGGGTGAACGTGGAAGGCGGGATGACCCTCCTTGAGGAGTCACTCCTTACTGGAGAGCACTGAGGTGTCGGCGAGGGCGCGAAACACCTCTGAATCCAGCACTCCTCAGTCCCACATGCCGACTGCACAGGGAGCTGCTTGGTGCTCACTGCATTCAGAGAGAGGAAGGGGGGGAGGGGTGGGTAATATATAATATATGCATGTGCATAAAGAGCCCACAGTTAGATTGTGAACTCCCGAACTCTCGCTGGAGAGCGCCAAGTGAGTCGGAGGCGTAATTCCTGGGACATCTCTGAGCTCCATTACATTTAATGGAGAGTAGATTGGAACGTAATATACACACTTTACACTCAAGCTCCAACAGCACACACAGGGTGGACCGCTAATGAGAAATGGAGCCCTTTTTTTTGTTTTCTATATTTTTATTTAGCCAGAAGATATGGCTTTGCATCAGGCAGTTCAAAGCAGACTCCCCCTGAGACGCAAGTGTTTGAGTTTTGTTGGAGACTTCAGTTTGCTCCTTGGTGCATTGCTTACAGTACAACTTCCTGCGCTCTGTTTTCATCGATAAAGGAATTGCAAAAATAGCCACATTTTAGGATTCAAGGTCTGTATCCTTTGAATGAGTAATAGTCCCAAGTTTTTGGAACAATTCACTTAGAGTGGCTCAAAATAGTGCATAGGAGGTAACATTCATGTCCAACATCGTTGCTATTTGGTCCCATATGAGACTGCACACCTTTTTAAAATCATTCAATAAGTTGAAAAAAGAGTTTCAGCACTGAAGAAGTCAAGTGTGTACATATTTATCCGTGGGGATGAATGTTTTACCAACATGGAGGCTGTTATGTACACACTCCTTATCCATTCTTTATTAGTTTCCACGGCATCGCTTTGGAAAATCAACAAACCACTTGACCTTCTGATTAGAAGACGAGCTACCTCTGGATGTTTACCTCCCTCTTCTGAATATGCAAATCAAACTGGATGCTTTCCTCTCGCTTGCTTTGTACAAACTATGAGTGTTAAGTATCGGCATACTACCCTGAAGACAGACAGTCTCATAGTTGGACGCCATGACAACACTGACATGTGCATTTATTGCCGAGTTCGCTCGGCTGTTGTCATCGTGAGGCCCTATCATCGATTCCGCCGACACCCGCACAATGCGACAACTGAGTGGTCTTTAACTAAAGTGCGGCGCTGACAAATAGCTGACAGTCCCGCCCATTGTTATGTAAAGAGTACAATTTTACATCTGGCAGACGAGGGAGGCAGGCGCTCAATTAGTCGTCGGAGTGGCCACAAGTCTTGGCAGCAGGCGCCGATGTATGTGAAAAGAGTCTGTGTGCATTCTAAAGAACTCGAGGGCGAGATTAATGCCAAACGTCTGAGTGTAACTTCATCCTAAACGCAGCTACTTCTCCCTGTCAGCGCAGCGGTTACCACAGTGATCTCTGGCCACAGTTTGCCTTCACTCAATAACTGATAAAGCAGGAAGTAGAAGTTTGACTTCACTGACTTGCGAGGTGCGTGCATGCCTGTGAACGAGCACGTGCAGGCGGTGGCGGCGAAGTGATCTAATCGACCACGGCGTGGAGGAAAGGATCTCCTGAGAGCTCCGGAGGCAGCGTGCTGTGTCTTATTGAACCTGATCCCCCTTTTACTGGAGAACAAATTGCAAATCTGTTTCTCTCTTCAAGCACTCACTCGGGCGGCACAATTAAAGGAGACAATCGCTGCTTGGCTTTAAGTTCAAGGCCCGACATTTTCTTCTCCCCCCCCCGCACGACTGCCTCCGGGCCTCTATTACGACGATGCTCTGCTTTTCCGGGGCCGGAAGCCCAACGCCGCCAGAGGTGATGACTTTCATTGAAATGTGTGATGTAGCAGAGCTGTGAGTGTATGATGAGAGGAGCCGGCTGGAGAATACTTTTTTTTTTTAACGCTCATAACTCTCGCTGTCTCTCTCTCCACTACAAACAGTCCCTCAGCCTCTCCGAACCAATCTCATTCCCCCTGAATTCACTTGCCGCGCCGCTCCTTGAGAGACTCATTACGGGGGAATCAAATTAAAACTTGCTCCTTGTCTCAGTTTGATGCATTTCCGAGCCAAGATTCATCCACCAGGCTCAATCAGAGTTTTTTTTCTTCCCTCTCTTAGTTTAGCTGATGAGGCCTCACGCTTAATGTTTCGCCTGGCACAAGGAGAGTGTTTTGATTAGTCAAAAGTGCTTTCTTTATAAAGGTTATTAAGCTGTTCTGTTTTGCAAAAGATAATATGCCTAGAGTTAAAGTTATGCAGTGTCAGAGGAAGTATGCTGATATTTGAACTCAGAAGCGTTCAGTGATTTTCATTCAGGTCTTCCTCTGTTCCAACAACAGCAGTTTCAATGCTGATTAAGCGTCTTCTCTCTGGATACAAATTGTCAGACAGGTATCAGAATTTGTTGATTTCAGCCTTTTGTTGACCTCCACCTGAGAGGCAGGACCAAGCCGAGGTTTAAATCTTTCCACCTGTGTGAATATGCTTCGACTTGAGTGCTGCATGTGCAAAAATGCCCACTCAGGGATCACAAAACCACGGGGCGCCTGTAGCCTAGTGCTCAGTTCACGTGCCCCATGTACAGAGTAGGGCTCGACTGATATGGAATATTTGGGGCCGATACAGATATTGATAACATTGGGAAGAAAAGAAAAATCCGATACCGATATATCCGCTGTCTTAGATCTATGCAGGATCTGTAGAGATAGATAGATATAGCCGTGGAAAAGATGTCTGACTCAATCCACTATCCTGTCTCTCAAATGAAGACATAATAAGCCCCTCCCCCCCCACACTAAACAAGTTGGCGCATTTGAGCTCTTGTGAGTTAGAACTCATGCTGTGTAATACAAAGCAAGGATTTAGGGGCAATAGCTTCTTGGGGTGTTACTCTGTTTGATAAGATTGAGGACCTAAAAGAGGCCAGGAGAGTCAGGAGTCACTGACTCGGTGAACTCGACTAACTGGCTGGAATTGTGTCGGGCATCCCCCCCACCCCCACCCTGCGCGCTGCCACTACGTTTGCAGCCCATTCTGAGAGCTGGGGCACAAACACAAGAGTGTATTAGTTTTGCACACCCAACCTGAAAGCGCTCGACTGAAAAAGATCAGTACGTTTGTGATTAGCAACAATGGTGCAATAACTTCAACTGATAAAAAAAAACCTAATTACACCATCTGTGTTTTGACCAACAACAACGACCACTGCAGGAAGAAAAAGCAGCCTCTCTATTATTCCATTGTAATGCACTGTGAGATATACTTAACAGCAAAACACAGCACACGCTGCTAACTAGAATGCATTCACATTAATTTATCTGTGTTTTCTCTGCGACGCAAAGTAGATCACCTGCAGCGTCGGTCTGCACACTGTTTATGTGATCAAGGCTGCACTTTTCTCTTAAAACTAAACTTGGAAACTTGTGCCTGTCGGGGGGGGGGGGGGGGGGGGGCTCTGGAAGGCAGCGAGAGGAAACCGTTTGAAGGCCTGAACTTTATTACCCACAAGTCATGCATCGGGATGTCAGGAAACAGCACCCAGCGAGCGCACTTCTGCAAGGCGGGGCTGTCATTAGTTTTTTTTTCTGTCTTTCTACAGGGATGCAAACACGGCTGAAAAAGACGCCACATCAAAGATCGGTGAGTCGTTTGCTGCTGATTAGGAGAATATTTTGCATGTTATTTATCTCCTCCCGTCTTTGAGAAGACTCCCTGAAAATTGACAACAGAATCTTCCGAGGTAGGAACGTCTGGGAGCCTCTTTTCACTGCAGCTTGGAATGATAAAACAGGTGCATATTTACATAAAAATAGTGCCACATGCGACTTTAAGATATGGGAAAATAGCGCAGGTGTTTTCTGAGTAAAAATAAATATGCATGCAGAGCAGCGCCGACACCACTCCGCTTTGGGATTTGAATCCCACGGGGGAAAGAAAGGATGCTTTCACAGCAGTGGAAGGTACTTTAGAAAACCATCCAATACACAGCAAACACCGAGGTATCACGGCTTATGGGAGGTTATCTTATGACGGGTTGGAGAGTAAATTATGTCCTGCAACTTATCTCATCTTACCTCCATCTAAATCCTCACTGCCAAAGTGGTTCCTGTAGAAGAGCATGAGCTCGATCCTGTAGCACTTGTAGAGCGTCACCAGACAGATGAGCAGCAGCAGGATGGCGCCCAGACCTCCGGCCAGCTCCACTGTGTACATCAGCTCCGCTAACGGGACAGAGAGAGAGAGAAGAGAGAGGCAAACACAGAGAGAGAGAGAGAGAGAGAAGAGATTTAACCACCTGATGAAGTGAAACTAAGACAACAACAAATGGTAGAAGGGAAACAGTGTTAAGGCCAAAACAGCAATTTCCAAAATTGTGAAGGTCAGTTGTAAAATCATAGGTCTCAAGGAAAGCAGCCTCCCTGACCCCTGACCTCTGAGCTCGACAATAAACATGTTCAGCAAAAGGCTAAAGCCAACCTCTCAGTCAGTGCTTCCCCCCCTTCACTGTGAATTTCACTGACTTCCTTCTGGCTCTCGGTTCAGATTTATTTTGTCCCCTCCTTGATTCAAGTCAGAGGGGAGACAGTTGTGTTGGTTGTGTTAGATAGCCCGCTAATGAGCTAGCTGTGGTCAAAGACTTGATCATTTTTAAACCTCCCCATCTACACTTGTTCACTTGCCTTTCTCTCAAAGACGGCAAGATGGCGACTTCCAAAAATGGCATCCTGGAGGCTCTAAACCAGCGGGTGACACCAAATGCAGACAACACCAGTGCTTCTCATCTGCCCATCTCTGAGCCGCCCATTTCCCACATTTCCACTGGATGATTCTGGCTTCGTCACAATGCTGTACTTTCAAACTTGTGCAGGCAAATATGTCTCCAGCCGTCAACTTTCCATCCATCAGCGCGGAACGTCAGTCCACATTTCTTCAAAAACTACGGATCTAATTTGTCTCAAAATCATCACAATATTTGAAAATCTGGTTCTATTGATTGCGTTGAAAGATTTTCTGTCACACTCATCGTTTTATTGATCTGTGCTGCAGACGTTTGAGGCTGTGAAACTCAGAGTTGCACATTTCAACATCAGGACTCCTCAGTGGTTTTTTTTTTTTTTGCTTTTGCTTCAGACATTAAAGTTACTTAAACTCCAGACAAACACTTTCAGGGAGAATCCAACCGCGGAGCATCAATGAATGTGCGTGATGCAATCTGGTTGGATGAGAAAAGTTCTTATTGAACATTGTGAATGCTCTTCATTTGTTCGCCTTACGATCTCCTGCAGCTGTGTTCATTAACTCTCTGTTTCCCTCTCCATCTTTTCATGTTGCTTACATTCTCATTGCAGCTGGACCGCATCCAGATGACACATAACTCCAGCCAAACCCGCTTCTACACCTGTCACTTACTGTCTCCTGGCCTGATTGGATAATGGAAAAAAAAAAATCCCATCCAGGCAAACCGGCGCGACAATCGCCTATGACAGATCCGACCGCCGTACTCATGAAGATTGGTTACATGTGTGTGCGGCGGCGAGGCGAGGAAAAGCAAAACCGGCTGCTGGGCTGAGGCGCCGATCGAAGCGGTGAAGTCTCCCCTGCCATCCGTCATCACTGAAGCCTGACGTGAACTCATGAGAAGCATCAGCGGGAGCTAAATTCAAGGAACTGCAGGACTTCACTGTTGATATTTCAGCTCTGTTTTAAGACGCTGATTCTTTGAGTGTTGCAAAGCGAGGTCCACAAGACGAGACGTTTTTCCAGTAAAAGCAACACTGGAGGTGTTATTCTGAGCGGGTGAAAGGTGATATTTTGCACAACAGGACGGCGGACTCCAGAGTTAAGCTGCAGGGTCAGGTAATAGCCTTGAACGCCGAGTCGTTTTGCTTTCTCGTTTTGTGATTTTGTCTTTTTTTGTCTCCTAACAGTGTTTTCCCCTCAAATCTCACTCCTTTTTCTTTGCCGTTCAACATTTCTTCCCGGCTACGCCTCACAAAGTCCGGGTGGTCAGCCTGCATTGGCTGACTAATGGACTACAGTAAAAGGCCGAAAAATCACTGCAATGCTCCACACACACACACACACACACACACACACACACACACACATAAACATGGCCATAGAGGAGTCGCGTGCATCACCATCCATCATGATGCACATTTAACCTCGTTGGGAGTGCGCGATGCCCATTTCACTGCGGCGGCCATCAGCCTGACAGCTCCCATGATGAAGGATGATGTTCTGGAGAGCTAACGAGTGTGGGCCCGCGCCGCTTCATCACGCCTGTCTGGGCGACGACCTTCAGCCGAAGCTACGGAGCGATGTGCTCGCACAAACGCAAATATAAGAGCAAACAAAGTCAGGGCAGAGCGTACACAGGTTTAACCATCACTATTAGGGTCACTTCCCCCCCCCACCACCCCCTCTCCTCCTGAATTAGTTTACTTTTCTGACAGAGGTGTTGCGGCTAACAAGCACCGCTAACCCGACTCCATTTCTCTCTCTCCCCCGTCCTCTCCAGCCCTCCTCTGCCCTCTCGCCTCACTGAACACAGCTCCTCTCCTCAGATATCTGGTCAGCATAACGAGCCAGCTGCTCCTCAAGCAGCAGAGATTACAGCCGAGGAGGCCAATTCTTCTCCGGCTGGCGTCCATATTGAAGCGGCGCTGCAGAGGGACGGATTAAGACAAATTAGCTCCTGACATCTAGAAGGCTGGATTGTGATGGAGCCACATGGCAACGGGCAATTCATCAACGGCTTTCTCTCTTTTTTTATTTCTGAATCGCTCTCTCGCACTCTGCTGTCGAGGGAGGGAGAAGCCGAGAAGACTTAGCAATGGCAGAGGGGAGAAGAGGCTTGTTACTTAAGCTTTGATATTTTTATGATATGCTCCAATACAAGATGATTCGAATCCAAAGAACTTCAGTCATCTGGTAGGGACTTAATTTGTGTAAAAGAATGAGTGCGAACACAAAACTATACAGACTTAAAGTTAGACCGAGCGTGTTTGTTTTCCACCAAAAAGTGACAAACAATGCCATACAAAACAATATGACACAAAATGTTATAATAGGATAAATTATAGAACGATACAGTATGAAACAGTACGATATGATGCGGCAGAACAATTCACTTTATTAACCCCTTGGAGAAATTGTCTTTGGAGTCAAGAACACATTATTCTTATTTTTCCTCACTTCCCTCTGCCATCAACAACAACACCACCTATCACAGCCTTAGAAGATGGACACTAACTTATAGAAAAGAAGATGTCTTTGCATATGAATCTGTGGGGCTAGTAGACTCAACAAGACAACCCCAGGCTAACAGGAGGCATCAAACGTATGTGATGTTCACTGTGGAAGAAAAGCAGCCTGCATTCAGAGCAGCGACACACTCCCCATCCGGAAAATTATTAATTTTTTTTAACTTTTTTTTTTTTATGTGGCTTTGCACAGATACAGCCATTAGAAATATCTTTCAGAGGGCTACTTTTGACATCTCATAAGCTGTTCTTTCACTTTGACTGATGCCACCTCTGAGCAGAATCTGAAAAGTAAATAAAACAGAGAGGGGGGGGGGCGACAGAGAGGATGGTGAAAGCTGTGTCTGCTGCTTTCCATGTTCACGATCCAAACAAAAGTCACAAATACAGTATCGGCAGCTGTCTACTTTACTAGTCGATGCTACAGTTGTGGGAGAAAAAAAAAAAAACGATCAGAGGGAAAACTACAACAGAAAAAAAAAAGTTGGTCAGGAGGACTGTGGGAATGCAAACTTCTAGGCCAGAAGAAGTTGTAGGAGAAGTTGAAACGAGGACGACTCACTCTACACACAAGCGGAGACGTATTCTGATTGATGCGATGAGACGACGGGATCCATTTGAAGTGTCGTGTGCTGTTTTCACAGCTTCAAGGAGGCAAGCGGGGAAGACTTTGACGCCCTTTGAATGGGGCCGTGTAAACAGTGACTGGCCTTGCTCTGCCAACGCCACGCGATGAACGCCGCGAATAATAAAAGAAAAAAAACACGGGGGGAAACACGGTTGATTTCTCGCCGACACGCAATCCTGCAAGAGCTGAGCTAATCTCCCTCTCTCTCTCTCTCCGTTTTATTCTCCGATTTCCACTGTGCAGCATAAACCCCCTTTAATATCGCAAATGGAGGGGAACTGGGCTGCCATCAAAGCTGGATCCAAAAGCTGCGAGCTTAAAAGAGAGGAAGAATAACTTACTATGTAAATGTATTCAACTCTGACAACTTTAAGGATGCACAGCTCCCCCTTAGTCTTGCTGAAATATATATATATAAAAATCTGTCTTATATAACCTCAGTGGAAAGGGTGCATCTCTATTTTAAATCACCACGGAAACTGACTTCCAAACAGTCGTCCTCCATGAGGAAAAAATCAAAGAGAAACCCCCAAAAAAGTGTGCTTGAATAAAAAGCCAGGCGAGAGAGAGAGAGAGAGAGCGAGAGAGAGGGATGAATGATGAGAAAATGTCTGAGTGAAAGTTCCCCCCGATCAAAGGAGGATTTGTGTGTGTGTGTGTGTGTGATGGGAGAGGTCACCGCCAGGCAGTCAGACCACTTGTCTGGCATCATAACACCGACGGCTGCCTCTCTCTGAAGCCCCTTTCTCTCTCTCTCTCTCTGTGAACGAATGCTTCCTCAGGGCGAAGTGGATGAATCAGCTTCCTGCGCTATCTACTATACTGTCGCATTTTTCCTTTTCCTCCCCGAGGCAAGAGAAACAACCGGTCAATTCCCAGAAACCCCGCAAGGTGTTTTTCTTTGTACTCAGTAAGTCGCAGAAAGAGATTATTAAACCAGGTTTTTTTTTTTTCCGATGTGCTTGTTTGTGTTTTGGCCTCACCTTTCTTGTTGAGCTGGATGTTGGCCTGTCGCCGCCCATTCCCGTTCTCCACGTAGCAGGAGTAGTTCCCCAGGTCGCTCTCCTCTAAGGAGTCGATGGTCAGGGAGATGGAAACTTCCTGTTCACCCAGGTGCTCCCGGATCGTCCTGCAGGGGGAGGCAGAGAGCAGAAAGGGACACAAGCATGTAAGTGACGCAAAATAAACACATTTGTAATGAGGAAAGAAGACCTGACTGAAAGACGTTATGATAGTACCAACTTCAGGAATCACATGCGAAAAAAACTAAGCTTAGCAACCGTTGTGCAGCCCCAAAGTGGCCAGAACTGTTAAGTTATGAGAGGACATGTGACATGTTCTGGCAAACAGCATCTTCAAAAAACATCTACATGTGTCATATTATCCACCGCAAGTGGTCCGATCTATTGTTTTATGTAGGGTGCAAAGCTTTTTCAGAACACTTCTTAAATCAAAAGAGAGGGCTAAACGAGGCAAAGACTCTCTGGAGAGCTTTTTAAGAAGTCAGTACATGTGCACAGAGTTTTAGACAGGCACGCTGATGGCTGGAGTTTTAATCAATGGACCACAAATGGAAAGCGAGGCTGTTTTCAAAAGACCAAGACTGTGAGTACATTTGTAACAAATGCTTTGTTTCAGAACCTGATGAACTGTCCAAGAAAAAAATATGAATTTTGTAATTTGAAGCAGAGCTGCTGTAGGAGAAAGGGAGAGATAAAGAGATAGAGAGCAAACTGGATCAGTCAAAGGAGGTACTTTATGTTTGGTGTTGAACATGGGGAGACAGGGGAACATGAAGAAATCAGGAGGGGCATCAACGTCTGCTCTAAAGCATCAATAACTTTACAAGTCGTGGTCGGTTAATCAAAACAAGCTGTTTGGTAGAATTTCGACACCAACATGACTTCAAACGGCGTCATTACTGACTGAGGTGAACATCAAAGTGGCGGCAGACTTGGTGAAGTCTGAGCGGGGAGAGGAGAAACAGAAAAATCAGACAGCAAAAACACGCGTTATTGAGTTCTGTAGTCTCAGTGATGGCAGGTATGCTCTATGACTGCAGATCCCAAAACTAAAATGTCGGATGAAGTCTTCTCAAATCTTCTCTGAAAATACCAACAAAGTACGGAAAACAAAAAGGGCAGAGGGTTTTGACTCTTTAATAAAATATGGATTTCTTTGCCCCGAGCAAGTTGTGTCTACGTAATGCGTCCTCAAATCCATAAATCATGACCTTGAATTTCTACAACTTTTCTGTTCTTTTCAGGGAGAAGCTTGACACACACGGTTCTATTATTGCACCCACCTTTAATATTCAGAATGCTTAAAGGAGACATATTATTAAAGATCCACTTCTGCAGTGTTTTTGAACATATATTTGGGTAACCTGAGTGTCTACTGACCCACAAAATGTGAAATAAACCCATCTAGTCCTTTGTTTGTGGTCTGCATAAGTCTTCAACACAGAGAAAAATGCTTTGTTTTAAATTTGCTCTCCTTGTGATGTCACAGTGGTAAAAAAAAAAAATCCCCTCCCCTCCCCTGGTATCTCCACCCATGGACTCCACCCCTAGCCTAGAGCAAAACTTTTGCGCAGGTCGACCATTTTTATTCTCATTAAAGAGGAGTTATGTCTACCGGGAAAACTCGGGGGGCTCATTGCATTTAAAGAGACACACACACCAAAACGGAGCGTTCTGAGAGAGCTGGTTTATACAGGGTCACAAACCTCCTCTGGTGCTTGATTCATGTTATATTTTAATCAAAGCACAGCCCAGATATTTCATTTAGACCACAGGTAGACTGTTTGAAAAGGTGGAGGAGGGGGATAATATGTCCTCTTTAATTTAGATGGAAGTAACACAACAAAAGTTAGGATGTGACAGCCCGTGACTGACTAAGAGTCTCTGCATCATACAAGTAATGACAGATCCCCCCCCCCCCCCGTCCTGAAGAAAAAAGAAACCCTCCTTTGTTGACTTGCTAAAGCTCTTGATGTGTATCGGTTGTGACATGTTGGTATGGGGATAATAGTGTGACTGTCATGATGCTCTGCAGCGCTGACGTATCACACAACATTTAGCCACGAGGGTTAGTGAGAGGCAAAAACAACCTTTTGATGCTTTTGTTGCATTGAATTCAGATGCTTTTTCTTTGTGGGGAAGAGGAGGGGGGGGGGGATTTTTATGCTTCTACTCCCACAACAAAACATGCAAAAAGAGACTAAAAGGCTCTGCTTTTGACTTTTTGATCTTTGTAACTGCACTGCAAGGACAATAAGACACTTACATGCTTGGGTTTCTTTGCTGAAAACTCGACAGTGTGTGTTGAGTTTATTATCTAAAGAGCAGCTTGTTCTATGATTAAGTCCTTTACATTTAAATAAGCAGTAACAGGAGCATCAAGATGGTCAAAAAGGCCTGTTTAAGTGTCAAAATTAGAGCCCGACCGATTAATCCTCAAGCCGATAATATCTGCCGATATTAGCATATCCAGTGACTGGTATTGGCTTCTTTTGTCGCAAAGATCTAAGAAAGATATCGGCCAATATATTGATATCGGATTCTTTCTCTCCCCAATATTGATATCGGCACCGGACCCAAAAATTCATATCGGTCGGGCCCTAGACAAAATTTGCGAAAAGACAAAAAATGGAGGTATCAAGTAAACTTTTCTTTACAGGGGTTTGGCTGTTATCGGCCAATCTGTGGTCAATGCTGCAGCCATTCCCATCTCAGAAGCCAGACAGTGTGGCTTTTGGCAGCCTGCTGCTGGCTTCTTAAAAGGCTTTTACCGACAGATTCAGCTGATATGACACCGAAAAGAGAGAGAGAGTTTATTTCAGTGTCTAGACTCCTACTTTAAATGTGTTCATTGAAGTTAAAGAGTGGAAAGAAAAAAAAAGCAACTCCTGAGTTTGCCATGATGTTTTCTCCACTCTGGAACTCCGTGTCTTTACATGCTGATGTTTGGCAGGTGTAATGTTCAACATGTGCAAGAAGAAGAAGAAGAGCCTTTTGAGGAGGCTTAAAAGAAAGTGTGACACCCTCTCGCATCACATCCAAAGACATACATCAGAGTCTGTAAGCTTCTGCAAAGACGGAGCATTTTGCAGGGCCATTATGAAATACTAGGAAATAATATTAGCCGGGTTAGCATCGCAAGCGAACAGGCCACTTGCTAAACCTTTTCTTGTATCAAAAAACATACTGAGCAAACGAGCATAGATTGTATTGGAGCTTAGATAAGCAGAAGAATATTAAGCAAACAACTTATTTCCTGGAATCTAATTTTGGAACTGTTGTGCGGTCTAAAAGGAACTCCTTTATAAAACACAGACTTTCTCCTTCTGGTACAAGGCTGCCGAAAGAATGTTTAACAAACCCTCATGACAAGAGTAGGAAAAACAAGGATGGATAAAAGAGTCCAATCACTCCTGCTGGGTTGCCGAGCAAAAGCAAGGATGATGAATGAGCAGTTTATCTTTTTAAGGTTACCAAATTTCAAAGCCCGGTGTAATGATGCATGGGGTTTTATAGTGCGAAAAAAGAAAGGTGCAAGTGCCGCTTGGGCATTCATCTGCTGGGTGCCGCGGGGCATCTGAATACAAAAACTCATGTAATTCTCGCTGATCAATGGACGGACTAAACACAGCAGAGTTTGGAGAGGTGGGAGGGTAAAGACTGACTACAATCACCATGGCAATATCTTACGTTAGCGTCACAAAGTGCTTCTAATAATTGATATCTCACACAGAAAATATCACACTTCCAGTGAATTTTCTTTTATCGACTGAGTACAAAGAAGACCCATTAGAGGCAATCCTCGTGCAGCTAGCTGCTTCATAAAAACTAATTATGAGGAAGTAGTTCAAATGCTGTCCTCCTGCAGGAGAGCACACAGATTTTCTGCCGGTTGTGTATGTATGTAATCGGATGTTGTTCAAGCCTTTTTGTGTAATTCCTGTGCTCTTCCAAACACTCATCCTTCTCCATTGTGCGGCCAGTCAGGCGGAGACCCGGAGGCCACACAAGGTTGGAATATAGATCCATGTTGATGGCTTTTTAAAGAGGTGGCGCCCATGTGTGACTCAACACACAGCGAGCACTGTAGGTGTAGAAGAAAAATCAATCAATCCTGGTTTGCAAGAAGACTCCATCATACTTGTTAGTGAATGCTCACAGGGGAAGGCGGGGGGGGGGAATGCATGTTTGTGCATGCATGTGAGGATTAATTTGTGTGATTTACAATAACAGAGGTCTCCTGAACCCTTCACATGACACCATCATTCATGGATATGGAGCATTGCAAATGACATCATGCCAACACTCATGGGATCCATTTAAAAGACCAAAGAGACCAGGGAGGCTATCACTTCCCAAGTTTATCCCAAAGTGGGGATAATATTATAATAATATTGCTGAGGTCGGGTCAAAGTGGCTCATGATTCTAAGAGTGCATAATACAAACCTGTTAATGCGTTACAGATTTCCCAAGACTAACCCTCACTTAAAAAGACAGACAGCCCAACATAGCACTCTCTAGCCCCCCTGATTCTCTGATACATGAATCTTCTGTCCCCCACTTTTGGTTTCTGAGTGCAGCATTATCTGGTATAGAGGATGTCCGAGGGGCCATGTCCGAAAGGTTCTGAATGATGAACCGAGGAGACCCCAAAGACTTTGAAGAATGTATCTACTGGCAGTGCACGGACAAGGCCTGCAAGAGATGGAAAAAGTTGTTGTAGTGCAAAACATCAATGCTGCTGAGACCCCGACCTGTAAACAACATATAGGTTAACTGGGAATGTGGCTTGTTGCTAAAAGCGAAGGTCAAGTGGTATGTGGGAAAACTGTGACCAGGAAAGAGGGGCTTAAAACAGCGGTTTTCTTTCCTTAAAAATAACAATAATTAGATTTTTATTTCAACAGATGCAAAACTTACGCCAAGGCTGATGTGAAGATCATAACCTCTGCCTTGTCTGTATATTGAAACTCGAGCTAAGAGGCAGTTAGCTTAGCTTAGCATAGGATTTAAAACAAGGGCAAACAGCTCGCTTCTATGTTCTCAAAGGCAAAAACATCTGCCAGTAAGAACCTCTTATATCATCTTTCCTTTAACCAGAGCGGCTCAAGCTGTTTCCGGTTTTTTCTGCTCAGCTAAGCTAGCAGGCTCCTGGTTACTGGACAGCTGATCAATGTCTGTTTGAAAAAGCAAAATAGGGTCAAATTGACAGTTTATCACGATACAGACGTCCTCCACTGTTGTATAATGTTTCCAACAAACCATCAAATCATTCATGCATAAGCCTCAGCCATTCTGTATCACTCCAGTGCCAGCCTGTAAAATGTTAAAAAGCTACTTGTTTTGCAGCACTAATATGCAGATGAAGCCTGCTGGACTTTTTTAAGCACCCTGATTTCCCATGAATATATCCGTTAGTGAATTAATTAGAGTTAAAAAATGAGATTTTACACTTGAACTGCTGCTCAAAAGGGTGCTGCACCACCGTGCACCAGGGACTGAGACTTCCTCTGGTTTTAAACACCGACACAGCTCGGCCTCTATGTCTGCACTGCATGCTGGGACTTCACCTCTAAAAACCCCATGTCGTGTTGTTCTGCAGCCACGGGGAAAAAAAAAAAATCTCACATCAACCCGGAATCTCAGCGGCTGAAAACATTGTGCCAAAAAAGGCTCCACTTCATGTATTACAGGCAACCCTGGAGGGAATACTCCTGTGTGATTAATTTCCATTTCAAAGCTCAGAGCTCATGGAATGATGTCAGGGAGTGGGTTTGAAGTGGTGCACATTCAAATGGGAACAAAAAATAAAATAAATAAAGAAGGAGGCACATATCACAAATAAGCACTTGAAAAACTTGAATGTGCACACACTGTGGGCACCCACTGTTTGCACAAAAGTCCATAAACACTGGCTTTTAAAGAAGAAGCTCAGGGTCACAGTATTGATCTCTCGGCTTGTTATCTCATTTGACTATCATATGAAAGCATGCTTGTTACTGCATCTGAGAAGCTCTTCTCCCTTCTCATCTTTATTATAGCACACATCCAATGCCACCACCTGCCGCCCCCTCCACCACCACCACCACCTCCTCCTTAAATCCTGTAGGCTCTAATTGGCCTGGTGTCCTTCACAACAGAGAGCTGAAAGAGGCGCGCAAGAAGGCTAACAGAGACATCTCCAAATGCCAGGTCGCCGGCGCGGCCGCTAACTCTACTCCGAGCCTTGTCACGCTGCTTACGGTTAACCTTTTCATTAGACGGCGGTTGTAGACAACAGGGACTTTCTAGTCGTATGTCAGAACCCGTCAAAGAAGTACAGTTGTTAGGACATGGAGGGCTGTGTGAATGTCTGCGTTTCTTTCATTAGTTCGAATAATTCTGATATTCTTTCCTCTCCTCCAACTTATTCTCTCAATTCTCTGTGGACAAAAAAAAAAAAAAAGATCATCTTCAACACTGAAACTCGATCCTGAATTATCTGTGGCTCCTGTTTTTAACAATGTCTGGGAGACGCTGATCGAATCAGTGCACAAATACCAGACATCCAGTTACTTTATGTTAATTTTGAAGCAACATTATTTTTCCCCGTTTGCTTTGAATTCTATCTATTTGATTAATTTTCTCATGTAATATATTTCATAATCCTCTTTTCTTTGGGAATACTCCTGTGCTGCTTAGAGCGCTCTCACTTCATCTGACAAAAGAATCAACAAGTCTGTGTGCATTTAAGGGAACTTTCAGAACCAAAATGTGCTTGTTTCTACTGAAGAAATAGTAAAACTCCCCCCCCCCAGACATGTGCGTCAGCATGTTTTACATGTTTAGTACACAAGCTGAAGAGATCTCTATTGATGAGGATTGATTTCCCTTCAGAGCAGAGGGTTATTTGAGGATGAGCAATCTGCTTTGTCTTTGATGGCGATTGACTGCCTGAAGATCGGATCCTCATCTAGAAATAAGATATGTGTCGAGTATGTGGTCGATGTGTTGCTTTGCTCCTGTCAGTCAGTCAAGTCACAGCTGAGATAGCAGCTGTATGCAGACACATTTAGAAATGCCAGCAGTACGGCTGCCATGTCTGTCTGTTTTTTACTTTATCCATGTTGCTGTCTGAAAACATTAACTTGTCATTTGGATAAAGGCTGCATGCAATTTTGTAATAACCTGAAGCTGTTACCAAGATAAAAATGATGTTTAATTTCTCCAAATATCAAACAATAATCACCTCAAGCGGAGAAAGCTGCTTGTTAACGGAAAATAAAAAAACAAAATGGTTAAACCAGCTTCAGGCAACATGCATGCCTGGCTTTTTATTTTTTTTTAACCTGAATTTGGAATAAACAGATATCTGTTTGCAGGGATGAGTGCGATCCAAAAGATGGAGGTCACCCAACTGAATCTGAGGCTAACACGGACGTTCCAATTGGGCGTCCAATCAGCTGTCTCGGCCTCCACTCGGACTGCAGCGCAAAAGTCAACGCTGATGGAGCAAAGCCTACCCCGTGCAAATATATTGTACATGATAAAGAATGCATTGCTGTCTACATTATTAAACAGCCACATAAAACATTCATGAATATCATTTATATGATAGCTCGGTCGTGAAGGGTTCCTTTTATTGTTCCCGCGTGTTGATGTGTGGTCGCATGGTCGTGGTTACCGGGTTTAAATAGGTGTTTACCAGTTGAGCGTCAGGCTTCTGCATTTGAAAAGAGTAGAAGTCGCTCATGAATTTGTTATAATGTGCTGTTCAAGCACTGTTTAGATATCAACAGGTTTAGACCACATCCAGAGACTCACATGCTGCATTAGTTTTGCCCCTTGAACTGCGATAACCTTTCATAATTAGGCTTTAAACTGAGAGTTTGTGTAAAGACTCACTTGATGTCAGTCTCCTGGACTCGTTCCTCATCCAGATCCTCGATGAACTTCTCTCCTTTCATCCAGTAGATGAGTGGACTGACGTCTCCGCTGTATCCAAAGAAGGCTCGGCACGTCAGGTTGACTGGACTTCCTGCAGAACAAGACACCGCATATTTAGTTTAAAGCGTGACAAACAACTGTGGTATTTTATTTTGCAGCTTGTCCAACCCTACTATGTGACATATACACCAACAATACATTTTTGGCACAACAGACTGTATTGTGAAATAATGTGCAGGAAAACTAGAAACTAAAAGACAGCATGAGGAACAAGGGAACAATGAAGTTGCACAGAAACATTTGCCGTCGCCACCGCTTTTATGTGAATGTGACTGAACATAATTTCAAGCCACAATTTGACGATATCATCTTCAAAGCCTCAGTCTCATTTTCTGTCTGCCAGGAAGTGATTCTGAAGGAAAACCATCTCCCTTTAATAATACACTCATTGTTTGCTACTGTATGTTTGCACACATGCCAGGGTTGTCTTGAATGTATTTCATGGGGGTTCATTCATTGAAGATACTAAAGGAAGCCCAAAACAGACATGCATCGGTACATTTCCTTAACTCTATTTTCCCATTTTAACCAGTAATGGTGAAGGGTAAGTGGACTTGAGGTTGCTATGTAAACCATCAGAAGTAACTAATCCCACTCGTACACATTCACCGCTGAAGAAGCAGCAGGAACTTGGGGTTAAGCGTCTCGCCAAAAGGACACATCCGTCACATTCCAAATGCGTCAAAAATGGGCCGGCAGCCTCCCTCGGTCCCTCCATTGGCGGATATATGAACTAGATGAATGATAAAAACACCTACACTTGCATGTGCAGCCCATAATTACTCATGTACTAAAAAAAAAAAACCCACTAATGTTGTCCCTGAAACCATCAACGTCTCCAGAGGCGCCGTTTTAAACCATCCCTGACCCTTTTTTTTTTTTTTTTCCAATTCCCTGATGGCCTCTTCAACTTTAAATCACTCTCTTGAACCCGGTTTCAAGGCACTGCTGTACCTTCATAAAAGCTATTACACTCTTCAGCAGCCCCCCTTCTCTGTCAGACCAGACTTTAAAGTTTCAATCACTGGCTGCTGCTGACAGTACTTTGGGAAAATTTAAACACAGAAGTATGGCAGAGCTTTTAAGGACAGCCAATTGCACTGAAGAGGCCATGTATTCATTCTGATTACAAGAGAGAAAACATTCACACCAACATCATATGCTGCTGCTAGCGTCTCACAATGAGAGAGAGTGTTTTGCCCTTTGGGGTCCACTGAATGCATTTGCGAGATACTACTGCTAACACTTGGTTTCATTGTGCCTGAAAGGAGGAAATAAAGGATGATTCGGCCAGAAGAGGTCCACGCTGCAGCACAGAGATTAGATCACTGTCAAAAGTAATCGCAGCACTTCTGTTTCTTCCATACTGTCCCTGATCTGAGACAAAAGTGGGAGTCAAAATTGTCATATTGTTGACTTATGTTTGATGAATATGTTGGCAGGAAAACAAAATTTGTCTTAATTAGGTCACATCACCATCAACGAGCTCACGGCTACGAACAGCTAACAGCTAACTACCATCACTCCTGTTTCAGCCTTTATTGTAACTACTGTTAACTTGTAAAGCATGCTCTGACCTCTGACCTCGTATCTCCTTTTCTCTTCTTATGGTTTGACTCTGCTTCCTTTGTTTGAATGTTTCTTTTTTTGTGGTTTTACATTGTACTATTTCCTTTCTTCGTTGATTGTCTCGCTGGTTTTAATCGGTTTTATTTCCTTTTTATTTCCTTCATTTGTGGAACCCCTGCTGCATAACCTCCCACTATTTAGTTTCTCATGTTTAATCATTGTCTTCCTCACCTTTCTCTGTTCGTTTTTTCCCACTTTGTAACCCTGTTTTGAAAAGTTTATCATCATTATTATTATCGATTCCTCGGTATCATCTACCGCCACGTTTGAGGTAGATGTATCTGTACACACGGGGACGATGAAGACCGTGAGATCAGAGGGGTAAAAGTGCACACATAACACATAACAGCAGTCGAACCTCCTGCCTTTCACATCAGCAGGAGTTCCTCTCTGTGCTCGGCTCGTTCTGAAACACAGCCTATATGTGACTGCAGAAAGATAAACCTCTTTAAAAGCTGTTTCTCGCTCTCTCTCTCTCTCTGCCTTGGATTAGAGCCCTCTCGTTCTTATCACACACATGATGCAGAGCCGACGGCACATCCATGAGTGTGTGGCCTGCGCTGCGACAGGCTCTGAGGGGGGGAAAAGAAGAAGAAGAAAAAAAGAACCACATCATCAAAGCCTGGGAATGACTCTGATCCGCACACAAGAAGAAGAAGAAAAAAAAAAGCTGCAGATGATCAAGGAGCCTCCACCAAGTTGTGCGTCCAGGAAGGCAAAAAGGTGATTCAGCATCTCTTCATTAGCAGTCCTTGCTCATTGGCCCTTCGGCGAGGACTCAGAAGTCTGTGAGATGGGAGATAACTGCGGCGTATAATTGGGTACTTGCTAGTTCAAAGATAATAGGGGTTTTATTTTACCAAGGCCTGCTCTAATTTGGCCCTCTAGTGCATGCGGAGTTTGGAGCTGAGATGATAGCTAAAGTGTTAACAGGGAGAATCTGGTTTGCAGATTCTCAAGAAGCCCCCCCCCCCCCCAGTAGGTGGACGGCGTTTTTTTTGCATCTTGTCTCACGGCTGGACCAGAAATATTGTCCACAGCTGTGAGTGGGTTGAAGAAGCAAGAGAGAAAGTGTTTCTGGACACACATGTACATATACACCCCCATTGCGATACTTCCCAGCTCCACCAGGGGTCTCTGTGGTGCTACAGAGAAGATGGGGGGGGGGAGACGGTTTTTGCAGGAGGAGCACATTAAAAAAACAAAGCAGCCCATTTTGACAGGTGCAGACAACAGTAAGAGGAAACACAGATCCTTTTGTGTGCCACCTTTGATGTCAAGAGGCTTCACCCGTGCATCCAAACAGCATGTTGTGTTGTCGCTCTGACAGCTCCGCCGCCGTGCTGACATCAGCCGCCGTGTCGCTTCCCTAGACTTGTTCCAAAGGGGGCCTCTTCTGTGCATCTTTCTCCCTTAACGACGGCGTGCTAATTTGCACGGGCAGAGGTAGAGGGGCAAATGTTCCACCAGGATTCAAGAGCGCAGATTTTTCTTCTTTTTTTTTTTAGACATTTAAATCCCAACCCCCTGGTCTTGGTCGAAAGGGGGTAAAGTGAGGCTTAATGCGATTGTCTCATCTCTCTTATCTCCGTTCGCCTCTGGAGCATCTCTCCCTGCCGCCGTGGCTGCAGGACGGAGACGTCAGCAAAAGATTCCCACGGCTAAGCAGAACGCTATGAAACCATGAAAATGCCACAGAAGCAGAGAAGGAGGCACAGAAAGACGAGGCACGTGTGCATTGCTGCGTCTGTGTGCACGTCATGACGGAGGTGTAGCCTAGCATGAGAGTAAAAGGGCATGAGAGTGAGATGAGGGAGAAAGAAAGAGCTGCACAGGAGACTCACACACACACACACACACACACACACGATGAGAGAGAGCTGAAAGACATCCCACACAGAGTGAAGACAGCATCCAATCGCCTTGAAGATTACATAGATTACAGATCAGTACATGTACATGTAGTGTGTGCGCCGTCCATGTCGAGTTAATCTACCGCTGTTTCCCATTCACATCCAAACAATCCAGCTCTTCAGTAGCGAAGCCTCTTTTTTTTATGCTTTAACAGCCTTGAATATATCAACCCTGCAGCTAGCAGAGCTAATACTTCAAAGAGGGAAGGGACTCAGCTTTGCAGAGTTTTTTTTTTTTTTTTTGGAACAGGCATTTGCAATCTTAATAGCAGTGAGGACACAAATAACTACCTGTTTAATGTTTCTGGTGGGACGGCAAGTTTAGGAGATGGCAATTAGCGATAAATAATGCTGTACGAGAACAGCACACATTTCATACGATCACTAATCTGTGAGCACACTTCTGCTCTCCGCAGGCTGCCTTTAATACCATATGGACACTAATAGAGGCAAATGGCTGCCTGGAAGATACTGAAAGCAAAGCTTTTGATTAAATCAAATTGATTCAGAAATACTTTGAGTGCCCGAGGAAAAAAGGAAAAAAATTGAAAACCTACTATTTTGTGACAACTAGCACAAACCCATCTGCTGTGAAGGGTTTTGTAATTATCAAAACATCTCCTGAACAGTAACTTTGTGCGGGAATGTGTCTCAACTATTGAAATACACAAACACAAGCAAAGTCAACGGACCAAAGTTGTCAAAAATGTCTGACACACACATGTCTAAGTACAGTGTGCAAACACATAGGACGTTATACAGTACAATTCTACAATTCATTTAGCAGACGCTTTTACCCAAAGAGACGTACTTCAGAGAGTCACAACAAAGAAAACAAGCAAGTTCAAACGAATGGCCTTAATTCTGATCGGACACACAGGTGCTGACAGGAAGTGACCAGAGGTGCTGACAGGAAGTGACCAGAGGTGCTGACAGGAAGTGACCAGAGGTGCTGACAGGAAGTGACCAGAGGCAGAGCACAACATCGACAGCTGTTCGTAAGAGTTCTCATCATCAGAGTTCTTGCATCAAAACCATCATCATCAGTATCATGAAGGTTGTAGGTGTTCATTAAAGGGCTGTGTCTTTAGCTTTTTCTTAAACGTGCAAAGGGACTCTAGAGTTTGGTAGTAAATTCTAATCTAATCTAATTCTAATCTAAAGAATCTAATTTTGGAGGAGCAGGTTGATCAGATTTCTTGGATGTTGTCCTCCGATTCTCTCTTCTCACCCCCCCCCTCCCCAAAAGAAGCCAACGAGAGAGCCGGCCAATCAGAACAAAGTGGGCAGGTGAAGCAAAGTGTTTGCTGAGTGTTTTTACTGACGACAGTATCAGACATATGAGGAGTTATGATGAGCTGCAAATCACCAATCAATCATAACGCTCCTCTAAAGGTTTCACAGCCTGACGGCATGAAAGGTGAAAAAGAGAAGTACTCAACAGAGTTAAAGATGCTTCAGTACAGGACACACAAGCTCAGGTTTGTTT